AACGAGTCGTGGTGGCCGAGTGGTTAAGGCGTTGGACTCGAAATCCAATGGGGTTTCCCCGCGCAGGTTCGAATCCTGTCTACGACGGTGGAATTCTTTTTTCTTTCGCCAATGCTTTATTTTCATGGTTTGTTACAGTTCTTTGGTTTAAGACATTTAAGATTCGCTTCTTCTACCGGCCGGGCGTTGTGGCGTGCGCCTGTAATCCAGTGACTTTAGGAGGCCGGGGTTGGTGGATCGCATGAGACCGGGAGCTCTGTGGCGTCGTTCTGCTCATGACGATCGGGTGTCCAGGCTAAGCTCGGCATCGGCATGGTTTACCCGGCGTAGGTTGGGTACCAGACCAGGTTGACTAAGGAGGGGTGTACCGGCCCAGGGCGGTAACGCAGCAGGCAAAAGCCCCCGTGTGGAGCAGTAAGCAGGATCGCACTCGAGAATGGGAGGCGGCTCACAGCCCGGACAATACGGCGAGACCCAACTCTTTTTGTTTCAGGTTAATGTTTTGTGTTATTTTTTGAGTTTGGTATCGGTTACACGGGTTGATTTTGGCTTTCTGGAAATGTTTTATGTTTAATTTTTAAGAGGGGAGACCTAATTCTTTATGTTTGGTTGCAAGAGGAACTTACTAGAATGTAGAAATGAAGCCTGCATCGAATTTGTTTTTCATTTTGGTAGGAAAGTTTAATATCTTCGCGAGTTTCTAAAAACAAACCACAACAGTAGGCCACGACTTTGGAATAAGTGCACCACGACGTTCAAAATCATTTTTGGTTTCATTTTGAAGATCTACGGAGTATTAATAAAGGTGGAATGTGCACATTTCACGACGTTATAAATCAGCACCGAGTTTACCCTTTTAAGTTGTGACACAAGCAACAAAGTCCGTGCGACGTTTAATTATAAGATTGATTATAAGATTAAACGTGGCGGAAAATCGAACGAGCTCGGCAAATGAAAGATATCGAAGCAAAAGAATACGGAATGTAGATACATCTGTCAAACAACACGGCCTTTGAAGAACTTAGTGTACCCAACTACGATCATTTCTGCAGTTCACTTTGTCAAAGTTGATTAACAAGGCGGTGTCTCGAGTCGATCATTTACCTCCAGTCCAAAACAGCGCATTTCCGCCATGCCGCACCCCTAGAGCGCCCTCTAGGGGTTCTTAGTTAATGAATTAGCCCAGCCTCTCTCTAATACCTCAACAGTCTGCTGTCCGCGTGGTGCGCCCCGCAGCTCGCTTTGACAGCATCGGCCTTTTGGGTGAAAAGTCCGCAGGCTTTCAGAGGTTGGAATATTTTCTCAGCCACGAGAAGTGTTTATCAACGTGCACATACCCGTTGCCCCTACGTCACAGCCTATCGATTGGAGGGAGGGGGGGGGGTGGATATATTTCAGGAAATTTTGTATCACTTCGATATACATGTATGTCAGAAAACTCTTTTGATTTGGGGCTGTTTTGTTACATTACACTAAAGGCTGTTTGGGTTAAAGGGGATGACTCGGATTGTATGTTTGGTGGTTTTAGGCTTGCTGTTTTATTCCAAATGAATAGGTCAAACCGAGACAAAATTATACGGGGGAGGGGGTGGGGGTGGGGAGGGTGGGGGGTAAATCAGACAAACAATTAATGGAAGTGTCCTTCAAAGGTATAACGGCTTTTGATATTCCCATTCAGCTAGACAAAATACGGGAGGAATGCCGGAAATGAAAAATAAACAAAAGTACTTTCTTTTAAAATATCAAAGTCCGAATTGAAAATTGAAAGAAAATTGTCGTTGCTCAGTTTGTGGTTTATAAGCCAACTAAAATAAGGGGAAATGGCCACTACAAACCTATGTATGTTTGTGACGTGAACTACCTCAACGTATTGTACCGCGCAACACCAGCAAAAAAATCACAAACCACCAATCTATATTTAAATGGACGTTTGTTTATTTACATAATTCACAGAAATAATTTTACGAGACGCAGACAAAATGACCAATGAAATGAGTGGTAGTAACTACAGCTTGGTTCAAATCAACCAATGAATGGCCACATACTGATATGAAAGCAAATAAGCAGCTATTCGGAATTCCTTATACATTATGGTTCGGGCTCTCAATCACACACACATAGTAACGCAATGGAACACCTTTGTGGAAGAAATCTCTTAAATGTTTGATCAAGGTTTATAATAAACCTTAAAATAATCTTAAAATCACAATACAGTGACCAACATTATGAGGGTCGATGGTTGTGAAAATTCGCCCTTATGTTCGCATGGATTGAAATGTGCTTTTGTTGTCTGAGAGATGAATGATACACTCTAAAACGTCCCTGCTCAGATTTGACCCAGAATCCAGGTTCTATATTTGGACGGACACTTTTCTGGGTCAAAATGAAAGGGCCTACTTCTGTAGGTCAAAATGACACTTTTCCGGGTCAAAATGACCCTTTTCTTGGTCACAATTACACTTTTCTTTGTCAAAATAACGCGAAAATGCGTCAGAAAAGTAGTATTTTGACCCGGAAAAATGTTGTTTTGACCCTGGAAAGTGTCATTTTGACCCGAAAAGTGTTGTTTTGACCCCGAAAAGTGTTATGTCGACCCGTTAAAGTGTCATTTGACCTGGAAAGGGTCAATTATCCCAGAAAAAGGTTTATTTTAACCCGGAAAAGTGTCATTTAACCCAGAAAGTGTCATTGGACCCGGAAAAGTGTCATTTGACCCGGACAAGTGTTCTTTTAACCCGGAAAAGTGTTCCCGGGTTCAAATCTGAACAGTGACTTTTTAGAGTGTATACACCGTGTAAGAATTATAGTCTATTTGATACACTCGGCAGTCCTTTTTTTTCTAACCTAATCAGTTCTATATCAAAGCCTGTTCAGAAATCTCAGTTAGTTCAAATGGCATTTTAGATATATTCCCTCCGCTTCTGGTATTTATTTATGTCGACAGAATGTTATGTATAAACCCTATACACATTACACACCAAGAAAGCTGTCAGAAACTCATTACAATTAACAATGCATAATATCACAGTTAGCCATTAGGATATAGTCCCCCGTGAGCATTAATACATAAGAATCGCATTTGAAAGCCCCCAAGCCCACACAAACAAAATGAACGTAACCAAATAAATAGAAAAACTAAATTAAAGCACCGTAAACCATCAACACTATCAAAATACCAGTAGATTATACGAGTTCAGGAACTTATAATTACTTCGAGATTCCCAGACGTGCTGCCGTTAAAATCAATGCTTGAAAACTATTTTTTTTTTAATTGTGGGAAGGGCTGGCTGGTTTTCTATTCATATATCACCATGGTAACGGCTGCATCTTGGGGCCAGATTCGCAGCACTGCAGAGCCTATCAGTTTGCTGGGCACAGAAAAGTTTTGCAATAATAGGCTAGCAGTAAAAATGCTGGGTTGGGTATTGATTGTGGCCAATTTGCATCGAAATCCTCACCGACCAAAACAAATCTGCGCAGCAATATCATGATAAAGTAAGCCCATGGAAAATTGGCTCTGCTCAATAATTATTACTTAGGCTATGAAGCAAAGAAATTATTCACAAAATAAAACAAAAAAAGATTATATTTGTGTTGTCACAACTGTGGAATATCACAGGTACGCTTTATGGCTTGGTGCATTAAGATTGATACAAAACTCGGAGGGAAGACAATATTAATTATGCTTTGAATTCAGGTAGGTGTTGTGAATGCCGTCAAAGTAAAACGTTTTCCCCCAATATCGATCAACGATATCGAGTGCTGGGTTAACTACGATGATGATATTTTTTTCTGTCAATAATGACAAGGAAACAAACAACTCACTAAATGGTAGAGTCTACTTTTCTACCGGGAACTAATCACGTTCATGTTATGTCAAGACACTCACGTTTCTATGAACCTAAATGACATTTTCTTCAATTTCAAGATAATTACACCATTTTCTCTTGGTCGTATTTCTTTTGTAGTATCAAATAATTTAGATATAAGCACACACCTTTTATTGTAATGAGTCTTCGGAGGCTCAAAAACAAAGTCAGTTTGGCTTCTTTCTGCGGATCAACTACAACACTTGAGAAACCCCGCATACCTACGCGATTTAACTTAAGCCATGTAAAATCTTTGAGTTACCATTGACGACCCCTCGTACTCCTAAAAGGGTACACGCAGTGTACTTCTGTGACTACCACGTGGGCCAACCCCCAACCTAAAACCCCACCACTCTTCCCAAAAACCTCATTCGCCACCTTATCCCTATTTTATCTTTCAACTTCCAAACAATAAATAAACACGTGACCGCCCATGCCATCATGTTTCGTGTTGAGATGTACATTTTCTCTGTACAATATTAATGACCAAAAATTACAACTGTACATTAATCAGTTAATTATAAGATGCCAAATTGCAGATTTTAAAGAGTTAACTCGGCTCTTCGTCTTTAGTATCAACAAAACTTGACCTCGTCTCGTTTCAAACACACCAACTCAAGAAAATACAATATTTGTTTTCCGCTATTTATCAAAGAGCGATTTATCCGCATTATCAATCGAATTAAAACATTTGGAAATAAAGTCACAATGGAATAATAGTAATTATTATTACAAAAATAATTATTTAGCATAATGCACGATTGTATTTGCAATAATTTGCTCGAAAACTTCAAAGAGTATTCAAAAATCAACCAAATGAACGAGAAACAGAAAAACGAAAGATGGTATGTACAGTGGTTAGGTAATTCAACCTAACCACAAACATTAAAAGATACCGAAAGAACAGACTACCACTTTTAGGAATAAAACCCGCAAAAAAGACAAACCAACAGATAACATTTCTGTTTTACGCTTTGCTCTCAAAAGAAAAATTAAACATGCATTTTTTCAAGACACCAGAGTTGTAATGACTCGAGTCATTGACTCGACTCGAGTCCGACTCGAGTCACAATTTTTGGTGACTCGACTCGACTCGATTCCCTAAGGGCAAATGACTCGACTCGACTCGAGTCACAAAAATCAGTGACTCGTTACAACTCTGCAAGACACTGACGAAAAGACGTTCAAACAACAGTAATCTGACATAAATACAACATACATGCACTTGAAACGTCGGAAATAAATATGAACTTATAATTTAAAAGTAGCGGACACTTAACCACAGAAAAGACAACAAAAACAGACAAAATCCGAGCCACACATTTTCACTCTTCATCAAAGTCCACATCACCGCTTTCCAAAGTTGGCAATTTATCGTTCCACCAAAATACAAACAGGTTATTTTATTGTATATAACTGTGTTTCTATAATTAGATACAAAAAAAATGTTCATTGTTTTAGCTGTTTCGATCATTGTCGGAGGTTGAATCCAGATATGCCGTGGCGTACCGCTTGCCCACGTCCATTGAGTTACCGTCGTATGATACACGGCGGAGCGGGAATATAGCGCTGTTGCCGTCCGATTTGGAAAACGATCGAAGGGTGGGGACCTGCGAATGGAAAATCGGATATTAACGAAGTCACCAAAGTTTTGAACTTTAAAGAAAATGTTGCGGCTCAAACCAAATGCAATAATTTGATTACAATCTGAAATATAATACCAATTTTGTTAAAATCATGAGGTTCCATCAGCTTTTTTTTGTTGTTTTTGGCCGACGTATTCATTTAGGCCTTTACATCACAACTTTATAGCACGTCATTCGATATGTTATCAATATCATAAAAATAGATTTATGTTATTAATCACTGGTTTGTCACCTCATAGCCATCGTCCGTGACCGGGTTGACGTTCTGGTATTTGCATTCTTTGTAGATGTTTCGTTTCTTCAGCAGATACAGCACAACGATGTCACACATGACGGTGGCCTAGAAAGTTCAAAAATAAAATATTTAGGCTACGGGGCATCGGATATCTGGATATGAAAAGATGATCCTTTTGACCTCGTTCTTAAATAGATGTTCGTCGGGTGCCCGGCAGAAGGGCGTATGAGCGTTCTGACGCAAAAATCATTTTCAAGAAAATTGCATTGAAAGTTTCCATTGTTCCCTCGCGCGCATTATGTATTCAATGTTCTCCCACGCATAATGTAAATCGCCCGAATTTGAAATTTGTCACACCTATGAATCATAAGTTTTGGAACAACTTGTATTAATTTCTGACGAAAATGTTTAAATTTCATTAAAATGGAGGCAGTTTTCTGCATATGCCCTTTTGCTGGGAGCATTTTGGTCATTACGCGCTACTGCATAAGGGCATATGCACATATGCCCTTCTGCCGGGCACACGACGCGTTGTAATATTGGTGTCCAACTCTATTATCCAGCGCCGTGTCCTGCGGGAGGGAGGGGGGGGGGTAGAGGAGGAAGGGGAACTTGTCCCTCTCCCCGGCAATATTTTGTATGAAATGAAAGTGCCAGCACCGTCCGGTACAACCGAACGACATAACTTGGGGTCATTATCCGGATAAATTACCCGTTTTGCCCTCGGACCCGCAAACACTGGATACACCGCTGCTATCATTGTCCATACAGCGGAAAACAAACGATCACACACCCATTGTACCCTCAATTTAGACCAAGGGAAAGTAAAGATGAAGTGAAAATATGGGGGAGACTAAGGACGGATAAGCTGCAAACTGAGCTGAGAACAATAGAACTCATTAATAAGTTTTGAAAATAAGGTGTCAATCTATCGAGGAATACTTTTTCGCAATCGGGTCCTGCGCATTTCAATATCTCATGTGATTTTAATTTTCTATTAATAACATTGATACTAATATTATGGATTTATATGGTGTAGGCTTACATGTTTAAACCAAACAGGTTACCACGGCGCGGTACAATATTTTTTATCACCCCTGCTCATCGGGCCAATGAAAACATTCCAATCCAAAGACAATCTCAGCTCCCTGGGGGTATACAGCTCAATGCCCCCATATTATGCGCAACCAGCTAAATCAACACACAACCATCTCTGCCCTAACAAGTACCCATTCACTCCTGGATGGGGAGAATCAATGAGTGACAAAGTGCCTTGCCCAAGGACACACACACACCATAACCCAAGACTGGACTCGAACCCACAACCTACAGATTTACCCACAAGATCATGAGTTCAATGCACCAGACCACGAGGCCTATAACCATCAGCTCAAGACTATGACCCTAACACCACCAAAGACCCGTGACCCCAGAAAAGAAGGGTCAACCTCCTCACCTATACGTGACCCCGACATCCTGAACGCGCAAAGAGTGCGATGGAGGGCGCCCTAACCAGAGGTTAACAGAAACAAACACCAAACTACAAAGGACGCCTTGATATAGTCCCGTGACCAGCATACGTGTCCCGCATAAATACCCTGCTCCAGGTTGCTAAAACCCTGAAACTCTAAAACGGCGCGCCTGAATTCATCAAAATAATTTTGTTCGGGGGAGAAAAAAATCCTGTTCGCAGCCATCGATCCATTAGGCACGTCAGGCCTTTTCCAACGGTGTAGGGTTGAGGTAAATGACTCCTCCTGCCCCAAAAACGAAAAGCCAAAACAGGCCCTATGAGTGTTTTCTTTAATTTCACTTCAACGATTCGACCATAAAAGCGCCATCCGTAGCTGATGTGGATGTCGGAGAATGTAATTTGGAGAATCTTGGAGACTGTAAAATGCCTTATCAGAAATGTCAGCACATGCGACCGGAAGCACGGCACGTTTCCACTCCTCTAATTAAAAGACGTTAGGAACATTGAACCTTTTTTTTGTTTGACCACTGGCTTTGCGTTATAGGCCTACTCATAAACAACTGGTCAAATGAAACAGGTATACAATAAAGATGGGCCAATATCTAAAAACATCAGAAACCGTTTGTTTTTCTTTAGATAGTGGCGGTAAAGTTTCACAATTTTTTTCACACAATAATTTTCTTCACCACACACATGAATCGCATTTTTTTTTCTCAAGACATCTCTTTTTTTTTACAATGTTTTCAGATATTATTAACGAAATAGCATTTTCTTTCAATGAAATTGCATTATTATGGCTTTACCATTACAAAATTTTGGTGAATTTTCTATTTTTAGCACATAGGTACTTTACTCGATGACCGCACCATTAGGTTTTCCCGGTCAATTTCGACAAGAAGTCGTTCAATTTATTATCCGACCCATTTGCTTCCTTACATCAGCATTCTATCGTACAAAAAAAAGGAGTCATCTGATTTCATTGGTTAGCGTTCTTTCTACGTCCACGTTCAATCAAGTTCAAATGGTCGTTAAGTTAACTCAGTTTCGTCGAAGCCTGTAGCAAAAAGGTTGATTAACAAGTCAATGTCATCACTTGGCAAACATCTGCGCATTCTACGGTGACTGCCGCATGTTCTCTCAGAATCGTATTTTAGATGATTCTCAAGATGATAGTTCCATGATGCAGTGATCAAGAGAGGAAGAAGCTGATGAATAGAGAACAGCCTCTATACCAGCTAAAAGTAGCAGACATTCCATGCACCAAGAGACTGCTTTCTAATTCGAAACAGGAGTGAAAGCGTTAATGATGAGATAATGGGCCGAGGGGCGTTTCAACAAACCTCCCTGTCCCCATTCCATTGAGTTCATTGTTCAAGTATTAACATGTGTCATTCCACAGAATCGTTTCGTCGGGACTGGAGTCTGCTTGTCTGAGGTACATGTACTGCATTGATTACAGTCACTAGTGACGGCCAGATGAGTCAATCAAACCTCATTGTTCTCATACCTCAGGATGGAACATGTGCGATATGCATGCAGAGCTCATGTACGGAGGTACATCTGTTTCTCATTTACCTCACACGTTGTTACTTTGTGAGCATAGTGATTTGGTATTTTTTGGTTTCAAATTACTTATAAATATAAGCATCAGTACCCGAGCCGAGTATTTCTTGCATTTTCTTAACCAAACATTTGTTCATCCTCGGTTTTTCTTCAGGCGCTTTCAATTACTTCCTGAAATATAGATTTTTCCGCTTTACTTCCCAAAACGTTACATGTATGTACCGTCCAATCGTCTTTCATCCGTCAGATATGATTGTGTTACATTCCTTTTTGCAAATAAACGTACGTAGGCCTATCTCGTGTATGGATATTGCGCACTATTGGACGGATAGTCGTCCACTCTGTCAGTCGCCCGTAGTGCCCTGGATGAAATTATGACTGGATACTGACAATGATCCCCGTCAAATGCACCATTGTCAACCAAGCTACAAGCTTTTACTGCTCTTAAAATAAAACGTACTGTGAGAGAGTTTGTAAAAAGCAAAAAAGTAAATCTATCAATAAAAAAACCTTTGTCTGACTCGGAGGTTCCCAACGCACTGTCGTATTCTGCACTCGCCTGTGGTTTTGAATCTTAACCAGTAGCTTACAATTAGGCATGTAAATCAAAGCAAGTCGCCAGAAGAATCGAATGCAGCGATATCTCACACGAAACCCTATTTTGATCTACGTGAAGCTAAAAGCCTTATAATGAAAATGAACCAATGTTGTTGAATCAAGTTGGCCGGGAAATTCTATACTTATTAACCCCCCCCCCCATTTATGTTTATCTTAATTATATTCAACCTCCAGCCCACGAACCAGTCAAGCACAATAAATTCATATCATCTCTCTGGGGTCGAGGCTCTCTCCGATCCCGGCAGCAAAAACAAATTTTGTTTCGCAATTCGCCCGAGGAGTATGTCTCAACAATATAAACAAATTAGGGTGGTTCGAACGATGTAAAAGTTCAATAAGAACATATACACAATGTTTTTTTAACTTAAAATCCAAAACAATATGTTTACACAAAATATACCCAGCGTACAGTCTCGCCGGCCAGCAGCCAAAATTCGACGATAAACCGATTTTATCGATTCTCTTGGGACCGTTGGTACGTGAGATCGTCATTAAATCCGGTATCGGATTAATATAATCCGGATGCACGAGCTCGAGTCGATACTGACGTGTATCGAGTCATCAAGTATCATGACCAGGGAGGTATCCAAGACCAAGGGAGATGACCTGAAGGACGAGACACAGTATAGTCACGTGACTCATGCCACGTAATGGGTGCGTTCGTTTAGCTCATTCGGGTCGACACGGGCCAGCCCCGTGCCGATCAAGTAGCTCTGACGTCATTCTCAGGGCTCAACCGGGTCAGCCACCGCAGACTATGGAACAGAGTCAGTGGTGGAAATACGTCACGCATGCGTTCATTCCCTAGAAATGGACAAGTATGGCGGCTGGACAACGGAAAACTCAAGTGGACTTATAAGTTAACTTTAATTTATTTGAAGTCTAAAGGTAATCATTTTATTTAGTTCATTGCGACTTGCGAGGCTATAATTTCAGCCTATTTTTTTGAGTTTTGCAATTGACTCAAAAGCAGTAAATTTCAAACTAAGACCCAATCTGAAACGGACGTTTTGTCAGTTGCTATGGCCACAGCTATGGGCGTCACGTGAGGATCGTGATGGCCCGTGGATGAGCGTTCGATTAGCCCGGCTGTCTTGGCTGACCCGCTCTTCATCTTACGGATGTTTTGTTTTGCTTCGACAACTGAACGTTTTCTTTATCCGAACTACGGGTTTCAAATTAGTGCGTTTTATTTTAAGCGACATAAAAAATGGGGATCGAAATAGTGAGCCATCCCATGATACCTATAGTAGATACGCAAAATGAGATCGTTTCAAATTGCATTCTGAAATATCAAGCCCTTTTTAATTCAGCTGCGTGTGGTTTTGTTTTCTTAAACTGAAGTAGTTTAACAGTGCACACGTCCCTCCGTATCACGATATCGTGATATGATTTCTCGATAGAAAAAGGTGTGGGATTACGTTTCCCGGGCAATGAGCAGCTGTGGGAAAAAAAACAGTCGAAGCACAGTATCCGAGGTGTCTTATATCAATCCGCAGATTGGGTGACTGCCAGGCATGGTATCATTCAAAACCCGATTTGGGACAAAGAAACGTGCTCATCCTGGATCTGTGTCGCGCTGAAAATTGCATCAGAGAGGCTGCATCGAAATTAAAGACGGCTTCACACTCCGAAGAGTAAGGCAAGGCGAGAAAAATAATAATAATAATGACATTATACTTTCTTCTGCAATTTGCAATTCATGATATTCAGTGGCTGGCCTCGGCTTGTCCAGGGGAATAAAATATAATTGTAGAAAACGGGGAGTGTGGCGAAGAAACTCCAGCCGGTGAAGTGCAAAATGACACCGTTGCAGAACGTGGACATTTTTTCATTAAATTCCGGGAAAGGAAGGATTTAAAACATGGATTTCTACTTACTGGTTCAGAGAGAGATAAATCTCTCTTCCCCGTCCTCTCCCCACCCTTAATAAAAAAAAATCATCATGCGATCTAATTACAAACAGCAGTTTTACATAATCGTACGGTTTGACGCACCCGACATGTAGACTCCGAGGTACACGCGATTCAGATCCCTGCGGATCGACGCTCCATCATGTCCAGGTAATAAACGAAAAGTGATATTGCTTGGGTGATGTGGCAGTCAAGCTTTTCTCCTGTGGGCGACCTTATCAAATGGGCTGAAATGAACTTAGACAATGCAACGTGTTTTTTTCGTAAAAAGTGCAGATTTGGAATCTCGGGATGAGCACAAATATTTACCGAAGATACTTTTTTTTCTCATAATATATATATAGGCCTACGCAGCTTTTTTTGGTTGGAAATTATTCTTATCAGGTTTCCCCTGTTGCTATTGCTGTTGCTGTTGCTATGGCTATTGCTGTTGGTACTGCTGTCGCTATAATTGTTGTTGCTATTGCTATTGCTATTGCTGTTGTTGTTGCTATTCATGTTGCTGTTGTTATTACTGTTGTTATTGCTGTTGCGATATTGCTGTTGATATTGCAATTGCTGTTGCTGTTGCTATTGTTATTGCTGTTGCTATTGCTGTCGCTGTATTGCTGTTGCTATATTGCTGTTGCTGTTGCTATTGCTGTTGATGTTGCTGTTGCTGTTGATGTTGCTGTTGCTGTTGCTATTTCTGTTGTTATTGCTGTTGTCATATTGCTGTTGATATTGCTATTGCTGTTGCTGTTGCTATATCTGTTGCTATTGCTGTTGCTATATTGCTGTTGCTATTGCTATTGATGTTGCTGTTGCTGTTGCTAGTGTTGTTGCTGTTGCTATTGCTGTTGCTGTTGCTATATTGCTGTTGCTGTTGCTATTGCTGTTGCTGTTCCTGTTGTTACTACTGTTGCTATATTGTTGTAGCTTTTGCTATTGTTGTTTACTGTTGCTGTTGTTATTGCTGTTGCTATTGCTGTTGGTTTTGCTGATGTTGTTACTGATATTACTGTTGTTAGTGTCGTTGTTGTCTGGCGTATTCACTGTTTTCGTTTTTATTACGGTTGATGCTGTTACCGTAATTGATGTGGTCGCGTTCACCTTGATCTTATTTCTTCCACAATTATCACTGATATAAATCCACCCAAGGGTTAACCGAGGATCGTCAACTGCTTCACTGCAACCGATTCCGAGCGGGCAATTAAATTAGGACTGCATTCTACTCCCGTCCATGAAATATACATGAGACTGTCAACATCAAGACTTTCCACATCTGATTTGCATCATCATCATCATCATCGTCGTCATCAAAGGATGCCGATACCCTGACGTCACCGGTTTCCAGTTCTGATGTACCGCCTCTAATAACACAACCGAGATGATGTTCTGCAAAGCGTTCACATCCATGACGAAAATTGTAATGAAATCACGATAAATGCCTGTTGATACGTGGACTTGTCTTATAGATTCGTTCTAGGTAAAGATTGAGATGATTGTAGATGTGCGGGAAACATCAAAAGGAAAACTGATTTTCTCTTTCGATTGGGTCACGGATCATCGCTCACCAATGGAGTGAAAATTATCATTATTACACATGGACTTAACAACAGCGGAAAAATTAAGGCCGTGTTGGGACCGGGGTTGGCGAAACATTTTTCCCGTTGCTCAGTGCCGTGCGAAGCTCTTGGCTTTTCCGCTGCCTCGAAGAATATTTAGAACGTTTTTTCGTACTATAATGATCTGAAATGGATTCTTAACCAATATATCATCAGAAATTTACTAATAAACTATTAAATTATCGCTAAAACAGTTTAGAAACCTCCACGTTTGGAAGGGGACTAATCAAATTGTTTTTAAACAAAGCAATAATCATCGAGACCAAATTGTTCATGGAGTTCTTAGCAACAAACAACAGATCGCAGAAACGTTTAGTTGCAAAAAACATATTAAACTCGCTAGCCAAAAATGTAATGTGTCTCGTATTGCTTATGATAATATTTATGTTTTGTTCTAAATTGGCTATGTAGGTAAACTTAACGAAATTGTGATTCAATAACTTAGAACGGGTAAACGTTTTATTTTTGTTGCTTATAGAAGACAAAAACTTGCTAAGCATATATTTATTTCTCGCTAAGCAGACATGCCTTTGCCTAGGAGGTCAACATGACAATTAAATACTTCAGATTAGCATCTCCATGGAATCGGTCCAATGATACAGGGAGAGTAAAAACAAACTCAAGCCCCCAACATTACGGTATATTTCATATTTAAAATAATTTATAGCACCAACATTAATAATGAATGGAAATCCAATTTCATAAGCTACTTTTAGATGGAAAAAATACTGAAATTGCTCATTCCGTTCAAAGAATATCACTATTTAAACGCAATGGCCCTAAAACCTGTCAAAAAAAACCAACCAATTTATTGTGTATTCTGACTGTTTGCAGTAACAAAGAAAACGACACAGAATACTCGTTTGAACAACTGTCAACAACTGTAGTACACGATATCTTTATTAATAATCATGGTCAGGCAGACAATATGATTTTATAAAATCCACTTTTATTTTAAAAGACGGGCCTTGAAAAGGATTTTGTCGATTTTTTAAAACTTTTGAACTGAGGTTTTATCGCTGGTGATATATTAAGACAATTGTGAAGACGACACTTGAAATCGCATTTATGGACGAAAGAGGTTTTATAGGTTCATTGTGTTTAAATGGTGCATGACATTCTTTGAACGGATTGAGCAATTTCAGTAATTCAAGTTTTTCATTTAAAAGTAGCTTACGAAATTGCCTTTTAAGTCATTATTATTTTTGGCGCTATCTATTTTTTAAATATGAAATATAATTTTGGGGTTTGGGTTCCGCTTGTTTTGACTCACCCTGTATCACAGACTGAAAAGCAAAGTGAGAGGAAGCATGGAGCGACGCTTACCAGCGAAAGCAGCGCAAACCCCGACGCCACGTTGAGCATGAGCGGGATGAAGTGGAACTGGCCAGCCTGCCCGGTGATCTTAATGTTGAACAGGATACCGTAGGCCTTCGTTAACGTCCGATGCTCCTTGCCGTCCACTTTGTAAAACTTCGAGAACCTGGTTGCCATGGCAACAGAGAGACAAGGACAGAGACGAGAGAGCATTAGTTCGGAAGGGGAGAGGAAGTATACAAAGATAGAGATAGAGCCGTAGCAAAGCGCTCGAGATGAGCATCACGAGTTGCTGCACGGTTTGCCAGTCTCGATTCTAGGATTAAGGAGGCATGATGAATCGATTCTGACAACCCCACGCTGCTGAACTTTAGCCGGTGTGCTTTCAATATCAAACCGCCGTGCATTTTCGAGGAGACATCTCGAGACCTGTACTCATTTAACTTCAATTTGACCCAAATTGGTCGGTGCGGCCAGGCAGCGTCTCCTTGTCACATCCGCTCCAAAGAAGTAATCCTAGGTAAAAAAAAAAAAAGACCAACCACCCGCCTTGCTTTGCAAAAAGAAATATTCATTCATTGAAATGCAGCCAGGTGCATTCTAAATGAGACATTCTCATTACATTCTGATTATACCTGTTGCTGATATTATCCATCCGAATCAAGCGAGCATGGCGGTATGGAGAACTTGATAAAAGAGCTGACTAATGAAGTCGAGAATATCTGGCGCCACAACTTGGGCTTTTCACATTAAGTTAAGCAAATCAAAATTCAGGGTTCAAATTCCAAGCTATTAAAATGGAGCTTGATATCAGTGACAAATAACTGCAGAAAAAAAGATAGCAAAGATAACCTCGTTGTTAATTGGCGGGCACTCTCTAAATTCCGAAGAGTGAAAATTCTCTCCATTCGAGTGAAGATTCACTCCCACAGTCGGAAACTAGGGACTAGACGTTTGAGAGTGAAATTTCTTCAATCGTGAAGGTCGAATTTTCACTCGAGCTTTGTCTGAAGTGGTTCTTTTTTCAGACTATTTCAATCAAACATGAGAGCGATTTTCACTCTAAAACGTCTAGTCCCTAAGTTCACTCTTTAGAATTTAGAGATCATATTAGGTCTTTTTTATGTGCCTTTGTGCCCCCCCCCCCTCCCCCACCCTCCAAATGAATTGGAACTATTCTATTGAGTCACTGGACTAATCAGTATGAACAGCCAAGATTTTTAGTCATATTTCCACTTTTTAAGACATAGGCTAAACAGGGGTGACATATCAACATGACGAGCATTATGTTCTTTCTACTGCATGCGCAAAACTAATAAGTGGAGAAAAACAGACTCATTTCGTAGTATAGCCGGTCACATTGGCAAAGTAGCAACCATTGTGCCCATTCGTGTTAATGTTCAGGATGGTACGATAATAACGCATTCCAGAAATGTGATTGGAAGTGGTTAGCCTCCGTTGCGCATGTCACAATTACATTTGAGCAAGGCTCGTTTGGATGTTGTAACCATAGACATATAATAAAACCTTGTAACCTTACCGGAAGTTAAACCCGGCGGCTATTTTGGCGTGCTGATCGTCGGAACGGAAGAATCGATACTTTGGTAGACATTCGTCTCGATGTCTGTCGAGGTTGCAGTTCCATTGGATGTCTATCGTTATCACGCCTCCCTGCACAGACAGAGAAAATGACATCACACATTTAGTCATCGTCGGAGGACACTTTTGAAAGACATTTCTGACCTTACCATATGCAAATTCGAACCCTGGCTGGACGACCATAGTTAGTTCGACTAGTCTAGTTGACTATTTTGAGGTCAGCCTACCGAGGGTGGTCGCATCGCTGGTTACCAATAGCCTCGCGTATCATAATGTACAACAACGAAAAGTTTCGTGATGGAGTTTAGACCATGTTTGAGTAGAGGCGTTGACACGTTTTGCGCAGGCTTTGGTATATACGTCCTTAATCAACCACTAGAATGGTCGCATGTCGAACATGCTCCTCGATGCTTTATGGGCCTTATGCACGAGTCGGCCATATTGAATTGAAAGTGAGGTAAAATCTTAATTTTTGGAACTTGCGAAGAGAAATGAAAGCAAGTTAATTACTAATTAAATCCAGTCTGCTTCAATTTAAAATCTGTAATGAAACATTCCCTAATGTTTAACGCCAGATTTTAAAAAGATGACAAAGTAAAATAAGGCTGCATTATGCCTGCATAAATAGTCTGGCGCCATCCCATTCAACAGTTAACAAATAATGGAATACATTCAGTGAACTCAACAAAAATGGCCAACGCGTGCACAAGGCCCATTAGACGAATTTCAAACGAGCATCGAAACCGCGGGAATCAGTGTAACATTATGGTGGGGATTAAAATAATGAAAATAGTGTTGCACTGCGAGCCGATCGGTTTTGATGCCGTCTGAAGAATGAGCAAGTCTCGAGACTTCACGTTGAATCGTATTACTAACGTCTGGGTTCCAATCACTGACCACCGTAAAGATAAATCTATCATGGGCTGACCAAAAATGTCTTTTATTATTTGCTAATCTGCAGAATTCGAACTTAAAATAAAATCCGTTGGCAACCACGCTAGGCAAGATGCATGGCATTGCTTTTTTTTTATTGGTAGCCTGCTTTTGAATTCAGAAAATGTTTCTGTGCTTGCGGCAAATTCACGTGGTCAGCCTCCGAAAAATTGGACCCCTTCGCATATTCGCATTCACTGTACAGAAATAGCACGTCAATATTACAATTACGTGAGGCTATTTGTGTCGGGTTACATTGAAACAGTTTCCCGATAATGTTTTTTGAGTACACAAGATGTTACTGTGCTTGCGGCTGAATCATGTGGTTATCGGCTTCGTGGAATTGCCCCCCCCCCCCTCCCCCTGGCATGTAGGCCTACTTCTCACATGGTAAAATACAAAACAATCGAGTAGATCCAAAGATACCTTTACTGTGGGGCAAAAAGCTACTTTGCTAATAGTGCCTTCTGACATGAACCTGAAACAGCTTCATTTGTACTTGTCTAATGGTTTGACTGTTTTTCAATAAATTCTTTGAAATCATTTTTTTTTTAAACAGCTTTGTACCCGCGGCTTTATAAAATCACGCCTCCACACAACTCCTTATGATTGCTAAGGGTTGTTCAACCAATTCCAATGGGATGGGATTTACACAGTTAACTCAAGTTACAATAGAGTGAAAAAGGCCCACGACAATCTGTTGCACTGATATCACTAACTGTGTAATTAAATCCCATTGGAATTGGTGAAAACCTCATAGCCTTTTATAATCTGTTAGATCTCTGGTTTGCATGAACGGATTTCCTTGGCATTTTTACTGATTATACGCAAGACAATAATTAATATGCTCCACAAAAATGAAATACTCATGTTAAGCAGTTTTGAGGTATGAAAGGTATCTGCTTACACAAAAAAATGTTTTGGGGACACCCGGTACCCTGTAGTTCTGGGCCATTTTTTCTCTCATGAATATGAATTTACTAAGCACTTTACTTTCTACCTATAGACCTTAATCATGCTGCCACCATTGCACTCATGTCCCCTGTATACAATAACAGTACTGAATGATAGTTTTTTTTGTGCAAAAAGAAACCAGACTATTTTTCCTTGGTTACGTTGATTTGAATAGGAAAAAAATCAAGATAGCCGGAATGTGATAATGGTCTATAGCATCCCCGTTGCATAGAATCTTGTGGCTGATGACGTACCTTGTAGGCCATGTGTTCGAACGTGTCGTTAGCCATAGCCACGATTTCCCCGAGCTTTAAGATAGGGCAGAGTGGGTCCTTGACGGGGTCGTACATGCAGCCTCGCAGGTAAGCCTTCTCCGCAGTTTCCCGGATATTTCTTCTGTGACAAAAGCGAGAGGGAACGGGGAACATGCAGCAAATTACAAAGTACAAAAAGAAGAAGGGGGTTAGTGTGACACGAAACAAGATTTCGAAATTAAAAAAAAAAAAAAAGTTTTGTGAAAACTTTGCGTCAAATTGTTGTTTGACTTTGCTGGATTATATGGGAGCAATATTCCTTATTCCTGAGCAAAAGAGGGCGCTACAACGATCCCATTCGGGGTATAAACAGAAGTGAATCCAACGTTATTGACGTCAGTGTACATACTGTTACAGCTTAATTAATGTTATGTTATTTCTTTAATGCAATCCATGAAAATGCACATATCTTTAACCTTATTTTCAATTTTCATTCTACTGTTTTTAATGGATTTTGTTTTATATATAAACATTTCCATATTCATGAGCTAAAGTGTGATATTATTTGAGGCAGAAACCTAATTGTTAATTCAGTACCAAAATTTGTCAGAATTTGGGATATTTTGCTGTAAAACATGTTCTTTTCTTTCATGTGACTCGTTATTGATTGGGTACATGGCAGTAAGCCAATGAGCAACGTTTTCTCAAAAATGTTTTCGATGAGCACATTTTGGGTTCACAGTTTGAACCATCTTCCCGAAATGACATCACACTAACAGCGCCCTCGTTTGTCAGGAATAGCATGGACAATTTCAAATGCTTAAAAAGTGCGCTTTTCAATAAAAAAAAAATAACCAAAAAGGGTTTTCAAAAAGTTTTCATACATTTCAGAATAGTAAATAGTTGCATAAAATATGTTCCCATGTAAGGCTCATGTCATGGGTCCTTTAATGTTTTGATTTCAGTAAAGTTACTAAACTGTTTCAATAAGCGGGATATATAAAGTGTTGGAATCCCGAATGTAGCATCGTTACAGCGAGCCAATTCGTTAAAACAAAATATGGCCTATTCTGCCTGCGAATACGGCCAAAATATCTTTGAAAATAAATGAATTGTGTTGCTCTTGCTTGACGGTCAAAATATCAGTAAAAATTTAAAGAATGTGTAGTTGAGAATAGTCATAAAAACAAAAACTACAAAATACGCTTGAATCAGGGGTTTTGTGGAATAATCTATGGCTTTAGTTTGATTGGGTGAGCGGATGAAATGAGGTGCTTAACTCAATGTGCGGTGCCAGGATCACACACCAAATTGTATACTTACTCCACCATACCACGATAATAGTCACCAAACCATTGAAAAACAACTGCGACAGGCCTACACCAAATCCACTTGACTTCTTGCAATTTACACGGCTACACCGCGCGTTCTTGTTCATGTCGCAAAGCACGCTTGATACAGGACAGGGCTTTTTTGCGCTAGTAAACCATGACACTTAATTAAAGCCGCGTCCGTCACAGGTATTACATCCATTACGGAGACAGAAATAAGAGCAAGATTGTGTGTGGTTTCTCCAACGGACTGGGTAGTAATTACACGGGTTTCTACGCCTACTTGCCCTCTGGAACCCTTGCAAGTCTTTCCATCAATCGCGGAGCTTTCAACAACAACAACCGCTGAGTGGGATTTTAAAAAAAAGACGAACCCATCTTCTTTCCGATGGGATTTATTTCGCTTGATGTCACTCTCGCTTCGGCCAGTGTCCGGCGTCGCTGATTAACTTATCAATTTCGGGACTAGTCTGTAAGTATCTAAGAAGGTGGTGTGTTGTAAATTAGTTTGTGAAGGAAGATAATCAATCACGTTTGACCTCTTGATGTCTGGATAATCTAGAAGATACGAAGGTGGGTGAAAGGGAGGTTAATAAAGCAAAGGTTAGGGAGGGAATGCGACATGGCCCGAGAAATCAGACGAGTTTCTTGAGGAAGAGATCATCACACATACACAATTAAAATTAAAAACAAGGATGCAATAATTTACTCCAAAACAATTATCTGTTTACCACTCCCTAACAGTTTACTGAGAAAAACGCCGAAGGTTGGGCATTTTTTTAAATATCAAACATGGGTTACTCGGGGTGCTTTAAGCCTAAATATGTCAACAACAAAATGGTGACTGCTCTACGTTCCGAGACCCTATTATGTTCCGACACCCCTATGTTCCGAAAACTCAACCTATGTTCCGACACCCCTATGTTCCGACAACCCTATGTTCCGACAACTTGCACATAAGATTGTGTTACTCCCGGTGAGGGTTAGGGTTAGGTTTGGGTTAGGGATAGGGATAGGGATAGGAATATGTGCAGTCGGAGGTTGAGTTGTCGGAATATAGGGTTGTCGGAACATAAGGGTGTCGGAACATAGATGTGTAACCCAACAAAATTGCTTAGTGGAAAAAAGTTACCAACCCAATTGTCGTGTAGTGTGAAGGGTTCCGCTGATTTTCGCTTGACAAACAGATTTCTAAGACAATGTTTTATGCTTAGCAGCTTTAGGATTTTGGGGATTGCTGATGCACGTACACATTTTGTGCAAAAGAATTCGATGTCCAAAAGGCAACTAATTAAACTCCCAAAACGTATCTCAGAAATTTGGAACAAGAGGTGAGCGTGCAGAACATGTTGAGAAGATCGATAAAGTCATGATCATGATGCCACTCATCTATCGTAATAAAATAGATGACACAGTCAAAAAACAAAGAAGAAGAAGGGAGACTTCTTTTTTCTTAAAACGAAGAAAATGCATGCACAGCCTAGGCCTACTTTTTTTTTGCAATGCGTGCGTGCACGATATCCGGAAGTGCGTCAATTCACCCGAGTAAAAAATATATAAACGACCATTAATTCGGTCGACTAATGAAAAAGCGCAAAAGCTGACGAGCTAAACTCGCAGCTACGCGCCACCTACACGTTATTAATGGAGACCCATCAACTACGCTGTCAAAATGAAGATACTAATTCATCGGATACGTTGTGTTTGCTCTCTTTTTCCTCGTGTCTGTCTTTTTTTTCTGCAACGCCAGAAACGAGAGGCTGTGTTATTGGACTTGTTTCTTGTTTGCCCAACGCTAATACGACTAATTTGTAATCAGGGTTGGCTAGTTTGCTGCAAGGGTCTTTGCACTGTTCGTGAGGTTTGAACGACAGCTAGATTTTTCCCTCCATATGATTCAGATTGATCCAAGCTAAATCCCATGCGTGATTTTTTAACCTCGTTGTTAGACCATGGCGAAAGTTTCGATTTGATCGACAGAGGGCGTGCTGAGCCTCATTAGTAATAGGGGGCGTGCTGAGCCTCGTTAGTCGTAGGGGCGTTCTATAACTTCGGAAATGGTTTAAACAGCCACCCACTTAGTCAATGGAATATCCCTTTGAACAGCAAGGGTCTAAGATATGCGAGCAGATTCGGCGATTAATTATGCAAAACAAGACTGCGTCTTGACCTTGAGATTTTGACCCGTTGTTGCATTACATAAACATGGCATTGACCAATAAACAGCTTAGTCCACATTTCTGATCGAAATGACGTCACACTTCTAAAGTCAACTCCGATTGGCTGGCGCGCAGGGTCGCATACAATTTGCACGTTAGGGTAGGTATATCAGACGTTCGACCGTGGCTCAGCACACGTGAGTGTTGGGTCCTCAGACTACTACTCACTCGCCTCTCTGGAGAAACTGGGACATAGTAGTTTTATCATTGGGAATTTTTTTTCCACATGCCAGAGCCTGTTGTGTTTCGTCCCTCTTTATTATTGGGAATCCGGAAGTGTTATTGTGACAACCTTACAGCGCGGTGGCAAATCAGAAGCTATCAGGGGCCATTCATCAAAACAAAGATCGGCATTTTGGGTTAGGAATCCCCAAGACTTAAATGGCGCCCCGTGAGAGGACAAAAAGAATCCGCCATAGCCCGAGCCTGATGACCGCAGAATTGATATTCATTTGCAGAGTGAAATCCTCACGGGTTAAAACAAAAATGTTCCTAGCGGCGAATTTCTCCAGTTACTATGGATAACACAAACGGCATTGACGATAAACTAAACACGGTACTGTAAGTGGAGAGGAGAGCATTAAGGATTACAGAATGATGTGCCTGTGACTTTCAGTTTTGAGTTTCCATATCGCCCGATCGAAAGAAAGGACCGACCTTAGGAAGACTTGCCTGGGAAACATGAGGCTTTTCCAAAAATGCCTTGAATTCTGTTGACGAAATATTGTTCTACCTTTCAACTGACGAAAATATAAGCACTGGCACTTGATAGTGATATGAATAAAAATCTGCTTAAGATTGATGAAAATGATCAGAAGTCATACAGTTTATAAGTCGTTGAGATGACTCGCCCAATTGGCGATAGCTATCTGTAACATCCTACGATATAACTCAATGAGTTATAATGTGAAAGTTTGCCTGATTAGAGTATTATTTTCAGAGTACGAAGCAAGCATTTCAATGGATTTTTGTCACTGTATATCAACTTTACCCTTTAGAAATTCAACAAGTTATGGCCACAAGTAACACCCACCTTGACAAAAAAAGTAGCCGCGGGTGTCACAATGCATCAGCCCAATTTTTCTATTTACAATAAATCTTGTTTTATTGCACCTTTTTGCACCAAGCTTCCGGGTGATTGGAGCAAATTTGACCGCCCTAGTTTTCTTGATCGACTGAAGCCTTTTTAGCCGTTGTGAAGAAATCGAAAAGCTACTCAAAAATTACCTTTCGCCCTTTCAGCTGCGTTCATTTCATAAAGAATCCGCCTTGGGTGAAGAACAGAAAATATCGTCCGTGTGTTTTACCTACCCTTTAAATTCCTGGTTGCAAAGATTGATCGTTGGGGCAGAAGAGTGCGTCACATTTTGGAATCGTGCCGTGTTTATCGACGTTTCGTATCAAAGGACTCGCGTAATTTAATATCACTGCTATTTTAGATGGCATGATTAGATTGACCAGGACGTTCAGTTTTTGTTTCGACAAAATAGATTTGATAATAATTGACATCGTGCAACATTATGCATTACTTGATTGGTGTCACTCAGAGTTCCCCACCCCTTGCGCCTTTGAAGCATTATCAAATAGATGATAGACCACATAACAGACACACAGGTGTTTATTTGTTTTCTCCAAAGCATTAGCCAAAACAGAGGGAATCTTTAACGTGGTTCAAACAAAGGAATATCAGTTTCAGTGAGCCATATATGAAAGCATGCCAACAGTTGTATAAACTCATAGTAATAAGAAGGAAAAAAAGCAAAAGAAAAAAATATTGTTAAGCACAAGAAAGAGCTGAGATGCTGTTATTTCTTTCACCAATGAATGTATATGCCTATCAATTGAATTTGTATATTTGTTGATTTATTTGGCATCTAAGGCATACTGGGCTATGCGGCAAACACATTTCATCGCGTCAGTGTAACAAGGTCGCAACTCGGATTTCACATATCTAGAATAGTTTCCATTGAAAACTTTTGTGGCACAACGAAATTTTTTGTTTGATATGAAATATTATGTAGAATACAATAGTCTACATGTTTCATAATCAAAGACAAATTTACATTGTGTCATAACACTTTAAAATGGGAACTATTCCAGATGAGTGAATTCCGATCGACAACCCTTGTTGCACTGACGCGATTTTGTTTGTGCCTCACATCGGCGTCAATTTCTTGTCTACATTCGTAGGGGAGGGACCGGGGGCGGGGGGGGGGGGGAACTGTAGCTTGGAAATTATGAAAAGTGGGTGAGGCACCCGACTGTAGGGGGCGCTGTAAAGCAAGCTACAATGCACAAACACCCATTTATACTGCCTGTGTGCAGCCTCCATTACCACCGTCCCTTTCAACTTAACAAATTAATGACCCAATCGGACAAAGATTGGCTTAGTACAAGACCAAACTTATTGTCCTTAGCGAAACAAGAGTCACTATTTCGTTCCGCAGAACCGGTTATCTGGCCTGGCAGATAAAGATGCAAGGATTGCCGGGCAATAAACTGCAATCTTTCTTTTTTTTTACCTGGAACCGCGGTAACTGAAGAATATTTTCCTTCCTTCTCATTCCAATACTTCTATTCAAATTGAGGATCAGGATTTTTAAATTGCATGGATTCAGCTTACCAAATTACCACAAGGCCGAAGTTGAGAAACATCTGATGGAGATTTATTCATAGTTAGTGTCATCGTCCATGCAACACATGACCTTTAAAGTTTATGAAAACCCACTTGAAACTGAGCTGTTTGGGGAAAAGTCAACGCCATTTGTTGCCAATTCATTCAGTCTGTACGCGATTAATTTGTAATGGGATAGCGCTCGGTATTCTCTGCGGTACACGTCGATGATTATTTTGCACGGGAAAAGAAACATTACGGCCGCCCCGGATCAGAGAGGAAGAGCCAAAGAGAAGAAGATGTTAAGATTCTGGTCTTCCTCGGATGAAAGATGATTGATGCAAATGGATGGATGCAATTGCTGGGCAAAATGAGAAGGAAATGGGAGCACAGGGGCGGGAGAACAAGAAATAAAGAGATAATTGGATAAGGGATTGAGAAGGATATACACTGGGAACTGTGGTGAAATTGAGTAGTACAGGGGAAGATGTTATCGAACTGAGGATGAGTGTGGAGCAATGAAAACACGAGCAAACAAACGGAGCAACAACGTCACGGTGATGACCCTCTAGTGACCCCGCAGTGTACATTGCTATATGTTCAGAGTATAATCTTGCGAATAATGTAAATAGCATGACTTCTTTTCCCCAAAGGGAAACTTGAAAATTAGCAACATGGTGTTTTTTTAATTTGAAGTTTTTATTTGTTGCTGAATTTAAAATCGTAGAAGAAGGTTGAAACTTGGCCGTCTGTACAACTGATATCGGTGTAAAATGGCCGCTTCTGGCTGCTATGGTCACTTGAGGGTTAAACATGGAGATTCGAGGGGGAAAAACTCACAATATGACACAACAGCATTCAGGACATTACATCTACAGAAAGATATTTGGTTACTCACTTTGAAAAGTTGAATAATGGGAAGGAAATGCTGTTTTTAATCATCACTGTGAAATTTTTAGCTTCCATGAGCACCGGCGTTTTGGACCTGAATAGAAATCAGCAAAAAATAATTCTTAAAAGAAACGTTTATCAGCAATTACAAAACCTGCATAAACAGTCAGTATTTTGGTAACCACATTGCCAAATCAGTTCACATCACGTGAAAACTTTAACTGAAAACCTCCCGAGACTATGATAGCATAAACGAACGAGAAACAACCGTAAGAGAATGACAAACAAAAGTTCATCTACCGTGAGTCAATCACTTATCTGAAAAGGTCCCGTAAATACACAAAAGGGGAAACCTTTCTCCAAAGTGCACTCACTTCATACACGCTAACCAACTTCGTGCAATTAGCAATCGGGTAAAACGGAAACGGGTAAAGCCCACGTTTTGGCAACTCTCTTTCGAGCATGGTCGCACACTCTCATTGCTTCTTAGATGCGAGACGTTGGGGAAAAAACGAATCGATATATAGATGTATGCGAGGAAACTCGGTCGGCAATACTTAAAGACGGCAACAGACCTTACCGAAATGATATACCGTGCCCGCGCTGCGCCGCACGGCCGGCGCGTTTGGTTTATACTCGCCTGGCGGGGCAATGCCGGAAAAGCTTTGCGCGCACGACTGACTCAAACGGAAACGCCGTGGAAGCAATTGCTGTGGCGATTATGGTTTTTGTGCATTAGATTGGATGTAAATGAGTGGAGGTGTAATAAGGACAGTGTCGAGGATAGCAGCGATCGTCTTAAGTAATGCGCATTCATCTTCTTTGGGTGTAGACCCTTGAGGGATCAAACATTAAGGACATGCGCTGAGATGTCACGCGAACAGTATTCATTAGTATTGTACATTTCATTTCAGATGCGAAAAGTAAGTGAACTGAACCTAATGTTGCTTAGGGGATTAGGAGACCAACCATTTATTGAAATCGAAATGTAGGTTCTATGTTTATTGGGCATGCAACCATTGGACTAAATCCGGTATATTTTTGGCAGTTTTAATTTGTTATCACTCCCGGTACGTTAAAGTATATACAATATTTTTTTTATTTTATGTGTGCACTTTTCTCGTTTGAAACAGCAAAATCTTAAGTACGGTGCATAACAACCAACCTATTGAAATTTTAGCTCAGTGGACACTGTACATTTTGAGAAAAAAAGAAAGAAAAGTATGCACATTTTGTTAGGTCTCTTCACGTGATTTCGTTGCTGACGCACGTAATTAAAGTGTGCTCGCAGGGCCCTATAGTTTCAAACCACCTTCAATGTTAGTTTACTTTCAAACGATACCTTTCTAGGCGGGATAATGTCACAAGGCACTTAATACCAGTCTTACCTTCAAGTTGAGCAAGATTTCTGTTTTTAAATCGGAACTTACTGTTTCTGGTAATTGCAAATAATCTCACGTACCTTTAATAATAGTACGTAATGAAATTCAGCATGGTCTCATAGTCATAATCAGATTCTGCATGTCACGTAGGCCTATTGAAATTTGATATTGTTAAACATGTTACCCCGGTATTAGACTATGGAATATCCCCTTTCACAGCAATTACAGTCTAGATATGCAAGCAGATTTGGCGATTAATTATGCAAAAACAAGACTGCGTCTTGACCTCGAGATTCTGACCATTCAGCAATCGCCTTCTATTGGGTCTTCCGTAAGTTGTTGTATTCCAAAAACTTGGCATCCAAATAGACCAATCCACATCTTAGTCCACAATTCTGATCGTCACAGTTTCCAAAGACCACTCCGATTGGCTGGCACGTGGGATCGCATAATTTACATGTTATGATATATCAGACGCTCGTACCGCGGTTCTGTCTATATCCTTAGACTACTTTGGGATAAGAATACATCAAAATATCAAAAGATAAATATCAAATTTCAGACTAAACTGTATTTGTTGCAATCTATACTCAAGTGGGCTTAGATCTGTCATGTACAATTGCTGCTGTGAAAAGTGGGACGGGGAAAAATAAAATTATCCTCGAAATATATGACGGGGTATTTTCTCCTTGTCCCAAGGCGCATTCTCGACCCGGCCCTTTTCCTGATTCTTCTTCGACCATCCCAAGGAGTGCTTATCTAGGAAACTATGCGTCTTAAAGCAGGAAAGGGAGTCTGAATTTTTCCCAATTGTGCTGCACGTGGGCGGGAAGGGGGTGTAAGGTATACGAGGAGAAACTAGCCGAGTGTAATGTGGAAAATAGTGCGCAGTGCGGATTATCCAGATAATGTACTCTTTAATCCTCGACCTGACTTTTCCAGAAAAAAAGCAAGGAGCTGGACTTCGGTAACGTCCTATTTAATTTGTTTTTCTTTGCAGGCGTGGGTTTGGAGACTACTTACACTTAATGCATTTCAATCAAGGGAAATGGATGCTTTCCTGACCTCTTCATTTCTCCGTAAATTCGACGATTATAGCAAATTTTAATTCTGCAGCTCAGTTTAGTCACTTAATGATACGCATGCGTGAAACATAACACGTGATGGAAATGACATATCACGTGATTTCAGTTGACTTCATGATGCTTAGATTTTATTTAAGGGAGCCTTGTATGGGTTCGAATTCGAAGAATGTCACATTATCTTTCGTCAGTTCTGTTAAAGAAAGTGCTACCTTTTAATGGAAGCAAACTTCACCTTTTATTTCCGATTCATGGCTCTGGAGGATTATTTTTAAGGGCGAGTGAAGTCCGAGAATCATTCCGTTCATTTGCATTTTGGTCAGTCGTATACTTGATTGCAGAAAAAGTAATTGCCGACACGTGTGTAATGACCTGATGTGGTCTAGTACCCAAGCGTCTGTATGGCAAATGTTTAAGTTTGCTTGAGATTCAATGGTTGATGTGCCTTTTTTCGAAACTGAAATGAAACATTCGTTTGTTATTGACAATTTTTTCTTTTCTTAAAAAAAAGCCCTAAAAAGGAAAGCAAAAATGTTTCTGGAAGAAACAGTCCTGTGTGTGATTATAAATAGTGTGTACTAACGAAATTTAATTAAAAACCTAAAGTACGTACAAAATCCCAAGTAAGCCTACTTTGGACTGCACCATGGGTTCACAGCCTTTTTTATCCCCCTAAAAAAACCAAATGTGTATTACTATACGATTTTGAAGAAAAAAAAGGGAGATTATGTGTTTATTATCATCCCCGAAATGAAAATCGTCAAATCGTGATGTGCGCATGCGCAGTTGGAATAAGGAGCTATCATATCTCTTGTTCTTTTTTTCACAACTCTCTTTCAGATGCTTATTTCCTCCATCTGTGGTCATCAGTTCATACGTTTCCGCCACGCCCGCGAAAATCAATAAAGAAAATTAATGATTAATTTGTGGATTCCGTCTGGTTTGGTTCAGACATGCCAGCGGCAACAATCTCCTAGTTCAGTTCCTCGTCATCGTGATGTAGAACAAACTATTTCCCCGATGACCCGTTATAATTTCCCCGAAGTCAAAGACTCGCCCGATCCCGATGTCATCTTGGGCGGTGATCTCCTGATAGGCCGTGGGGACTTTGACGAGACGTTGGGACCTATTGAAACCCCAATTAATTGTGCTTTTTTGTGTGTAGGCGATGGGTTTGTTCTACTGAATAATTGATTGAGGTCGAGTCGATAGTCAGAGGCCAATTGGGGGCGCTGTTTGGTGAGATTGAGACTTTGGAAAACACTGATTATTAGCCTACAACTTATATTAAATGCTAACATCTTCTTCTTCCATTAACTTCAATTAAAGTTCATGAAATAATCATATCGCACTACAGTGACTTCGTTCCATCTTGATACAACATTATGCGGTTTGGTATAACTGAATGCCAGATGGGCCTATCAGTACCATTACTGTAGACCAAAATTACTATAAGAGCAGAACTGATCGGGACCCTTAAAAAGAAAATTCGAAAACAAATTTTAAAAATCTTCAGGTTACATCAATACTGGTAATGCATAACTTTCAATAAAGACACAACTTTTGTATATTACAAGTATTTTGTCTGATTTAACATTTCTTTAAAAAAATCGTGTATATTAAAAACTCGGAATATAACTACGAACTTGCAGCATTAAACGTGTAGCTTAGAGTGAAAAATAAGATGATTTTATCATCACGGTATTCCAACCGAACGAAGTGTTTCTCGTGTGTGACAGATATTCTTCAACTTCGAGTCCGTTTTCGAGAAGCCGAAGCTAGTTAGGAGACATCACGTGCGTGTCACAGGTGAAATGGAAATGCACGTGTGACATTATCAGTTCAATCTATAGGTCCTCGGGGCTTGTGCATAATTCCATGGTTTCGTGTTGCAGGTTTTGCCTTTCGGGCGGAAACAACTCGCACCATATCCTCTTTAACTACCCAATTACGAGTGTTTCGGTGAACATTTCTTGCGTTGAGTTTCTGGGTCAAGCGATTGTGGCCTAAAGCATACCGATTCCAGAAGGGTGTTAGGCATCACATTGTTGGCTGGATAAACGGTTATAAGTTATTACAGAAAAGGCGCAAAAAAGGTGGTAACGAGATTGCATACTTAGGCCTACACCTTTGAAAGTGATAACACTTAATATTAATACATTTTTGTCTCTATTATCGTCTTTACATCAGCAAACAGAATAGTTGTAAATAATTAAGTGGTTACCTTGGTAACATGTCGTATTCTGTTGGACACCATGCTCTAATTTCGCAGGTTTTGTTGACGTCTTTGTAACGCCAAGGCGCTGGTACGCATCGACCCGTCCGCATGCCTGCAGTAGGGAAGAAAAGGGCAGAGTACCAGCCAATGATCATTGACTTCAGCATTGGTTCTTTACGGCATCAAAAGACCGTCTCTGAATTAATAAAACATTTCAATGTAAAAAGCATCAGGAATATCAGGTATATGATGAGAGATGCACATTCTGAAATATACATTCTTAATGCGGACAATGACTTTGGAATAACTTGAACGTCTGGCGTTGAAATCCTAGTATCTTTGACGAATCTGACATTCTGCGATCTAAACGTCAATTCTTGTCTCTTACACTTGAAGTACTTATCCTTTGACATTGCATTTGGTGAGAATGTACACCTTTAGTTGTCTATATTTATTGCAGGAAATAATAAATGTGTGGAAGCTTGCGATAGCCCCTTCTTTTAGCGCACACAACATTGAAAACCGATCGTACAATTTTGAAAACGTGAGACAAAAATTCAGTGAAAAGATCAGTGAAACTTTATTCCAAATTTTAAAAAGTGAATGAATAAAAGAAGAGAGCTGAATGTGATGTGAAAGTACGAACCATTTCCAGTTTTAACATATTCACCCGCTGGGCAATCTGCATCTGTTTGACACTTTCCAAACCATACATCGGAAGCCTAAAGAAAAAAAGATAACCACATTTTTTTTTTCAAATGATAATAAAATGTGTACCTGTAAAACAAATAGAATATGACAGGTAAACGAACAGTTTATTACCAGAATAGAGGGCAAATGGTGCCTTCGCATTTGCCTTTTGTTGTGTGACCCTTATCAGTCTTATAGAAAAAAAAAGCGATTTCGTTTCCTTCTAACACAGCTTGAAGCTTTCAGTGCAAAATCTAATATTGAGGCCAGAATTATCCTCCTACAAATACTGCGTCTATTTCGTATCTATTTCAACAGTATCCGTGTCACGGCACTATCGGAATATAGTCAAACATGACCTGCATTCCTTTGCCGAGCAACGCACCTGTTCAAAAAAAGATAATGCAAGCCGATTGGCTAATTGTAGCCGCTGTACCCGCGATGAATACCCCTGATTGGTTCGCTCTCTTCCTGTCAGGCAGCAGATAAATGCCAAGTGATTGGTTAAGTAGCCTTGGTGACAAGTCGCCAGACGGTATATTAAGCCAATCTGTCAGTGGCACGTGTATCACTGCGTGAACTCTTCCTATTTCTCTTTTTCTTTTTAGTTTGAAAGAAAAATGCTCGTGTTGATACTATAATCGAGATAACCATGACGTTAGCCTTGATGGGCAAGAATGTTTCTCAAGCGGTCCCGTGTGCCAATTTACGCCCAACTGCTTCTACGAAAATATCCTGGAGTGATACATTAAATTGAAGACATGATTTATTGTTTTGAGTTGTTTCCAAACGACTCGGGTCAAAACTGTCCGAAACACTTTTGCATGCAGGGAAATCATCCTGCGATACCCACATGCACATCATGTGCCTAACTTTCTTGCTTTTCTCCTTTTTCTCCAATTTGTTTCCAATTTAGTGGGTATCCCGCGATAACACTTCATGTTGATCAAATGTTCATTGGTTCATGACAGAATTCTTTATAACGAGAACGCAATATCCGCAATGAAATCAATTCTATCTCCGCCCCTTGATATTCAAAAGAAAACGAAAAGGTCATCACATTTCAGAGAAAAAGAGTTTTTGAAGAACAGGTATTCGCCGAAATTAACCTGTCATCCGTGGTTAAGGAGTTGCATATATTATACGGCTGTGATATCTTGGCTATTTTGAGTAACATGCTCTCCTTGAAACCGAGCACGATAATTGCCGTTAAATGATGAAGCATTCCAAGTCGAAATGCGAGCAAGTTGTAATGAAACGGCTTTTGAAATTGGTATGACTCTTTTCTCTTTGGTAACAAAGAAAGCCACCGTGATTGTCATGATTGAAAAGAACCATTCCGTGTCTGAAACTGAATGACCTGTTTTCATTAAACTAGGTTATTTTCTTGCTGGGAAATTGTAATCAAGACCTTTTGGACGTATTGGGTTGCACTCATGCCTTGAAGGTCCCACCTTTTGGTCGGTTCATTAATTTGAAAGCAGTACACGTGAAATTAGTCAAGATTGATTTAAAGCAGGGTTCGACTTTAGCGGTAGCCCGCTAGCCAAATGCTAGTCAAAACAGCGACGGGTAAGTTAAACTATTCCTTAAGTAGGCTGGCGAGTCAAACATTATTGGGCTATACGGCAAAGATGACAGGACAAAAAGAAAGAAATCATTAAATTCAGAAAGCAAACCTGTATCAATTTGTGTCTAATCTTATTATCTGTTTCGGGTTAAATGATTAAATCTGTTTATTAAAAACACTGACAATATTGTCTCAGGATACACGTTTTACATGCATGCACATTGTCGTTTACGAGATACAATATACTAAAAGAAAAACGTGGGCTAGTGAAAATGCCCGCGGGCTAGGTAAGAGTGTGTTTAAGTAGCCCGGCTGGCTAGTGAAAAAAAAGTTAAGGTCGAACCCTGATTTATAGGCATTGCGACTTCCTCTTTCCATTACATCAATTAATCTGAATTGAAAATGGAAGTTATATGTTTTTCCCTCCATCAATTATTTTTTGTTTTCGTGAACTGCCTTAACCACTGCGTCCATGCTAACTGTTTTTTTTAATTAATCGATTTCAATCAGAAAATTACACAATTGGATTTTCACAATTTAGTTTCAAAGTTTTCCTTCACTTGAGGTTGTAGTAAAAAAAGAAGAAGAATAAACACAAAAGAAATAGGAATTATAGATAAATGGTGACGTACACCTTTTCTGCTCCTAATTGTTTGGTTATTTTTAATAATAAATTACATTTTGTTATCCCTTTCCTCTTTCAAAATGTAAAGGTTGATTTCATGTTCTTTGTCTCCTCGTTAACTTCACGACATACAACCTCTAGGCCAACCGTGATATGCGACCGGAACAAATCATTATTATTTTTTATGGCTTCACGGAATTGTGTGGAATTGAAAAAATTTCCCACCATGCCCCGGGTCTAAAGTTTTAAGTTACGTGGTTTGTAGGATAGCAAATAGAAGTTTTGCCCCGGGGTGAATTGGCACCGACCTACCCAATCACTTCGAGAGATGACGGTGGGTGAAAAACACGAGAGCGAAAAGTCACCCGTGCCTGTAAGAAACTGATACGCAATCACGCCGCAATTGACGCGAAAGATGATGAAACTCGCGCTCAGCTTGCCTCGTAAAGACGCTTGTGGTTCCTCAGTGATAAAGATCTCACCGTCGGGAAATTAAAGAGACATGGGGACTTGGTAGCCGACAATTATAGAGTACTGAAGTGAATACATCACGCGCACAATTAGGTGTGTAAAACACATTAGCGCGCGATTCAGCCCGTGATGCCATAGATATTCTATATCTATGCGTGATGCCGTCATAGACCAACACGCGCGCGTACGTGTTCTTTAATCTTGTGATCAAAGATCCTACGCGGCGCTATGGAATCTTTGCTTGTGATTGTTTCAACACAGCTGTTCTCAGGATGCTTTCTTTTGTACTCGTGAGCATTTGGTGTATAATGTTTGCTTGTGAACGAAGTATTTTTCTAAACGTTGACAAAACAGTTCGTGCCTGTTTGCAAATGCATGTATCAAAATGTACGCAGTAATTCACTTATGAGTGCGGCAGCAAGACGCCTCGACTCTAACCAATGTTCCAAACCGACCTTACATGCAGTTTCCAGTTTCTTTAAAACGTGACATACGCGAAAACATTCATGTCTAACTCGATGTAGCACTAATGCTGTCACATCACTTCTGAATATTAAATAAGATTAAAAGATCTGGGATTTATCTTTGCCTTGTTCAACAACGTCTGGAATTTGACTCGCGATGAATGCATTGCAACTCTGTTTATAACATGAATCTGCATTCTTTCAGATGCCTATGTATGCATTCTACGGCAGTGCAGTTCATCAATACCAAGCTCGTGTCCAATTCTGATTCATGAACGATAATGACCCGGTTTTGCAGTAAATTACTACCGTATCTGCCACCATAAGCGAACCATCAGCGATCTTGTCGCTTAGGGTGTTCTGCTATTTTTACGGGTTTGGTTTGGGAGGGTTTACGGCCATGTAACATGCCGGCAGCTGGAATCTTTATTGGACAGCTGTCAAAGAATCCGAGACAAATGGCCCCAAGATTGACTGCCTATCTGAACCAGATAGTCAGTAAGAGGTCACCAACCAATCATAAGGAGAAATAGCAAAGTTAATGAACTGCACCATCAAATGAACAGGAATCTAGATGAAGATCGTGTAATGAAACAGCGCGGGAAAATAAAAAAATAAAAAACAGGAAAAAAATGGCATTAATAGATGCTGAAGAATATTAGGTGCCTATAAATCTTTCTTCGTCATTTTCTCTCCGGAAAAGGAAGTGACATTGAATATAAATTTATTTAAATTAAGACAAAAAATCAGATAAATAGCAAATGTAATAAACTGAACCATTCATGAAAGTACGCTAGGAGAAAAAGAAAAGGGACAAAGGTAGTGCAACGAACGTATGACAACGCATGACAACGTAGAAAAAATGGAGAAAGTGAGGAAAATGGTATTTATTGATGCTGGAGATTATTATAAATCTATAGCATAAATCGTTCCTCGTCATTTACAAAACCCGTGCAGTTATATCAAATATAATGCTCCAATAAATAGGAAAGTAGGACAAAATTCTTATAAGTATGACTGCAATGTTAAATGTTGAACTGTGCATATGTAAAATAGGTGTTAGTGTAAGATACATTTATCAACCAAAAAATAACTTATAAACTGAAGGTGAATGTGGCTAAAACAAATTTCAAAACATACTCTTAGATCCACGAACACTCGGTTAGAATTCAATTTATTCACATTGCCAAGAGCAAGTTCGAGCGAAGACCATTAGTCGACCAGTGGTCGATTCAGGACGTAATTTACGCCTGCGCACTAATAGCAACATGCAAATGCTTCTAGTCGGGCAATGGTCAAAATGTCTTGAACCTGGCTCCCAGCTGTGCACTATGATGCACCGGCGGCTATTGGTAACCAGCGATGGAACCGTTCCCCATTTTGTTCCAAATATTAATAGTCGACTAGAGTAGTCCAACCATCCTGAGTTCGAGTGATGTAGTTTTAACAATGGTTCACCATAGAGGCCTATAGTCGTTGCTAGAACTTGCTCCAGTGTGCGTGGTTCTTTGAAAATTGACCTATAGCGCCCTCTAGAGGTAAGAGGGCAAAGAGACGGGGAAAATTGAAAGACGAAAAGGTATACACAAAAAGCAAAACGACAACGTCAACAAGAACGGACTTACATTTGTCCTTACCTCTGGACAAATCCCGCGGCTTTGTTGGGGCGTGATAACCATGTTTGTCATGACGAAAAAAGCGTTCGTTTGCTGCTGAAAAAAGGAAGAGGAAAATGAACCGAAGATAAGACGTGTTAAATGCATGCACATTGTGGGAGACACTCCCCACTATACCAAACCATACACAGCGGCATGCACGAAGGCCCAATTATTTATGGTCATAAAAGTTCTTAATGAAATCCAAAAGTTTATCTTCGGTAAAATGGAAAGAATCCACAAAATGGTAACTGTTAATTGGAAGACATTTGTTCTGTAAAAGGCGAAAATGAGTTAGGTTTGCCACGAATCATTGATTTTTGTTTTAACGGAACTAGTATTATTTTCATAATATTACTTATTAATGTGGAGTTTTAGTTACCATTAAGTCCTGTCATTTTTTGCACTTCAGTTTCCCAAGTCGTGTTTTTAAATCTTGAATTCTTTCTGGGTTGACCAATGTGGCTTCGGAGTTTGTTTAAACAACTTTACAAGCGCAATGCACAATGCTCCAATGCATCAGTCGAATCTCTACTTCTCTTTCTGACAAACATCATGCAAACATGCAGCTTTCCAAAATGCATCTCTTAACGAAATCACACTCCCTTCTAGTTTTCAAGCCTGAACTGGTTAAAAAAAACTGGAGAGCTGTTTTGTCCTTGAAATTGCACGATGCTTGATGACTAAACTGGCTTAAGGAATGAGTATTTGATTCGCAAACGCTGATCTCAAATTGAATCGATTGAATCAATAAATAAGAATTAAATTGTCAAATAAAACATCAATCGTCTCTGTGGCAGTCTGGTAAACATCTCTGTGGCCGTCACAATTTCAACCCGCCATTTTTCGTCCCGCCATTATTTCCTGCAATCATCAAGCGACGGTAGTACACATTACCAGCGCCTCCTTCACTCATCCACTCGATATTGACGTGGCTTCCCCTTGTTGCCATGAAAATAGGAATTTGTTGATACAGATGTGCAGGCCTGATAGCGGTCAAACAAAGGTATATATTTTGGTTCTTACGAAACATCAGTATTGAGTAACCATTCGGACTCGCACAGATTCAAGTCCTACACTTCAAAGTGAATCTATCACAGTATATTTGCTACGTTCTCATATGCAATCTAAGTGCTATGTATAAAACATGAGCTTTCTGTTCAGATCATTGCGAAACGCATGAAGTTCTCCTGTAGGTCGACATGCGTCAAAACTATAAAAGCAAACGCCAAAGACAATTTGCACTCTTGCCACTTTGTCCTGATTGACCTTTCTGTGGGAAAGCAGGCCTACTTTATTTATCTTTTACTGCTGTAAAACACATTTGGCATTCGCCACATCAGGTTGTGTCTAGATTTCTACGGAAAGAGCCTGTTACCATTAGTGTCCGCTGAAAAACCTTATTCATAAAAAAAATGTAAGGAAATTCAGGAGCAATTTGTTCTCAAGGCTCTTGACACCGACAAGTTATCTCATAAACATGTCACGGGCGAAGAGAGTGTTGTTCCTTGCCGATCGCTGCCCACAACACCACGGTAACTGGATACGGCGAGGGAGTGGGGCCCGGTTGTAAAGGTTCGGTGGCGCGGATGAATATTAATTTCCTGTGGCGTGTGATTCGAGGGTCCACTTCGAATGCAAACAGGCCGGGCTGAGAGGAGGAAAAGAGACACCCTAACAATAATGCTTGGTTGACTCAAGGAATGAAGGGTCGGTTTACAATTCGTCAAAGTGCCCGAAAGAAGGCGGAAAGCAGGTGGTATTTTAAACAGAGCGAATCAATCTGCTCGTTTCGGATATCAACGTTACTAGCGGATGATTCTGAGAAAAGCTTAGTCGTGCTTATTTAATTTCTAGGTTTACCATTTTATCAGCCAAAACCGCACTTTGTGTAAATGTGTGTGGGTCAAATAGGTCAAGACGCTTTGAACTATTGCAAGTTCCAGAAACCCGAACTATACTCGAGGGTAAGAAACTAATAAAGTGGTGCTATAGCGCTTGATGCCATATTCCAAAGGTCTGAAAGCGCTTCACTTTTTAGTACCCCAGACCATCAGGCCACGAGAACAGTTTTTGCATCGTTCTACCTTCACAGGTACCCATTTATACTCCTGGGTAGAGAGAGGCAATTGTAGTAATGTGTCTTGCCCAAGAACACAATCACTATATGTTCCCAGTCAGGATTCGAACCAACACTGTAACCATTGGACCACCACGCTCCAGCTGTAGTACTGCCCCTTTTTGACAGCCAACCTTGAAGTAACTCCATTTAGCAAATGGAGTTACATAGAACCGCACACCCAAACGTTTATAAAGATTGAGATCTCCGAACCAAAAGCCACAGTTGCCATCGGTCATTCCATGGTTCGGTTGTAGAGGCAGCACTAACGGCGCGGAGGAACGGATTCCTATATGCGTGTTGTAATGAAATGGATGCAAAAGGGTTCGTGTTTTGCAAACGACGCTTTTGATCTAGTATGTAAAGCTAGGTAAGAAACACTAAAACGTTTTGCATTGGTCACAAATGGCAAATACATCAGGCCATAAGGCCATTCATGCGCTGAAAGTAGCTGGCGTTCTGGTTTCCTACCCCCCCCCCCGAGATATAGCAACAGTGTACAGTTCAAGAAACTGACATTTCAATGCACTATAGCTAAGGACAAGGAATCTTTTGCAATTTAACTCACAAATAGCAACAAGCAATAGGGTGTCGCTTCTGAACATAAAATTAGACGTGCAGTTTATTGCGGTCAAAGACCTATCGAGTTTTCGACTCAATAAACACTACTGAAGTTTTCGTAGTGTGTTATTTCGACGTCCAAAACTTGCATAATAGAAGCAAATGTCTGTAGGCCTACTTAGATTGATGGCCTAGAACAAATGTTGCAACGATATTTCTATTTGCACTCAAGCAGCTATCAAAGTGGCTACGTCAGAGACTTCACATGAAGTTAGACTTCACTATGTTATTTTGCTTCTTTTCTCATTATAGGGGGTTTGACGAACAGAATCATTGATCGTTATGTGAAAAACAACCAATTTAAAACTTCAGTTGCCATAAGTTAGCATGGTATCTGTGGTTTTTATTGGTATATTGTCCCGCCCTAAACGACAAACCATAAAAAATAAACAGCGCAATGAAAGGTCTTCCGTTCACGAAGAATGGTTAACAGATTGAAGACTGATTCCAAGACAGAGGTAAAGGATTTTGTTATTCGACCGAGGTATTGATTTCAATACCCGAGAAGCTTGCCTTTCGAAGGCATCAAGTGAGCTCGGACGCACAATTTCATTTCGCGGTAAGATAATATCGCACCGAAAGCCGGATTTGCGTTTAAAACCGGCTCTGGTTGACGGCAAAATCCCGTTTGATTTGAAAACCCGGATTGGCGCATAAAGCCTTTTATTTGACGCATGCTGCCTGCTTCGAAGTTCAAGGTCTGGTATGAATTTCAGTCATTTCCCGCCCGAATGAGTCAGACAGACGATACTGAAGCGAGATGGTTGGTCGATCATTCCTTAATTAATTAATGCTGCACCAGACCATAGCGCGACCAGCTTCGCTAATCGTCGTTTCATTTGATGCAATAGCTTACCTGCTGGATCCCTGTAATGGTTTCTTTTCAGAGCATAGAATTTTTTTTATCCTGAGTGCTCAGTAATTCAATATGCAGAATCTTTTATTACTTTTCAAGGTCAATGGATCAGCGGGGAAATCGGTCAGTCTCGATATGCATTTCATATATATTTTTTTTCAGACCAAATATTATCTCGGGTCTTGTTTTTAAATTATTTTATGGTTACTTTGGGTTTCTCTTTTAATGTTAATCTTTACAAAGTTCTTAGGTGTAAGAGGTGCAACTTCAGATATGCTCATTATATACCCTCTTTGCGTTTAATCTGTTGACATGCTAATGTATTAAATAGGTGACGTGTTAATGATTTTTGAAATAAGAATTAGTATTCGTTCCTGCAGTTATGGGCACTATTTCATGTTTCATATTTCAACCCATATTTAAAATGTTAATCTACGACTTCAACAAACGTGCGATCCATAAACAGCAACATACTTTCAAGACAAACCTCAGAACAGTCTTATGCTATTACTACTAGTTTGCCATTGTTCCAATATTTTGTCATGCAGCATTCGGTAGTTTTTATTATTATTATTATTAACACCGATAACAAGCATGCAGCATAACCTATAAGAAATACTTACAACGAAGGCATCAGAGTGGTCAATTATGGTTTACATTAGTCAATGTGGTAGTACCATCATCTCTGCATTCTCTGGAAATGTTAACTATTACCACACCCAACAAACCATACTACTACAAATCATGCAAATGTGCAATTTAAAATAAATCGGTGTGATTACACTATACACATGAATTACAACCGATAAAGATGACAGTGCCGTGAAGTCGACGACTTTTGCACGTTGTCATTCGATGCAGACTCGCTTTTCACACTGCATGTTTAGTGGTGAGTTATGCCACATCCATTCAAACGTGAAATAGTTAAAGAGGGACTTACTTGTAGGGCCGATGGGTAAATTGGTGTGGGTTGAAGGCGAAAATCAAAAGGGTGTAAAAAGGTACAAAAATATAACGAGGGAGTCAGAAGAATGTCGTCTGTGCAAAACAAACGGTGTCTCCTTCAAAGGCAAAAATTACCAGATGATTTAAGTGCCTGAATAATTCTGGGAAAAAATATTAAATGAGTGTGCTTGATGGAGTGATGAAGATTATTAAAGTGCTATTTTAATACATGGAAGATAATATACACATTGAAAAAGTGTACATGACAAGGAAGTTGAAAGGAACAAGCGATAAAAAGACAAACGAACGTATTTAGGCTACGTAATAGGCAGTGAATAGATAATGACAGACAGATATTGATAAATTTGAAAAGTACAGGACAAGTATGGGATAATTGAAAGACCAAAACACCAACAACAAAATCATGCAAAACATGAAACAGAATGAAAACAGGTAACATGAATCCAAAGAAACAGGGACAAAACGTCAAGAGAAAAATCAAGGTATGAGATTTTGATTGGTATTAAAAAATATATATATATCTGTCCTAACCTGTGGCGGTATGACGTAATCGGCAAGATCCCAGATCCGATTGTAGGGCGTTGGGTCATCTATTTGAAGATCCCACGCCCCCGTGATGTTTGTATAAGCCACGCCTTTTAACTTAGCCGTCGCCGATCCTTCCACATTGTCTCGCTTCTGGTAGTCTTTGTTGATAATTAAAACATATCTGCAATGCAATTGAGAGAAGTAAAATATCTTAGTTTAGACCTATGGAAACTGTTTCCCTTAAACACTTGAGTTGATGACGCATGGTTTTGTGTGTGCGTGATAGACTATTATACTGATTTGGTATAGGATTTGTAACACGATAACTCGTGTGAAGGCACAGGAAAGAAACTAGCGGAACTTTCTAGACTTTCTCCGACTGCACTTAGGAAAAAATCAATTACTTCGTGTAAGTGCAAACCACCTGTCAATTAAACTTTCATCCGATGTTCATATAAATGTTTAAAGTCTTGTAGATTGTGCCGTATTCCGCGTCAATGAAAGTGAACAATGGAATCCGCGGGCTTTATTAATCATCACAAATTCCTTCGGATTATAAGGAGAGAATGGATTTTATTTATTTTATTTTGTTTTCAGAAAAGCGAAAGTACATGTTTGTAAATTAATATAAGAGTGGTCTGCACTTTCTTCTCATCCATTAAAAGTACAGTGTGCCAGCGTGGTGCTAAGGTATTTGTCCTTTATACGATATCAAAAAGTGTACGTTGAATATTTTAAGAAACCTCAATGGACATTATAGACATTGTATCGGCGTTGGATAGCGTAACTGCAAAAGCATGCGAACGAGCCTTGCTGGTTCACACTGCTGAAGACATACATGTTTACGTTATATACCTTTTGTGGACATTCCTTTGTTCTCGTGTAGTTAAGAAAAACCTCTGAAAAAAAGTCATTTTACTCACACTGTGAAAACACTTTCAACTCATTTTTTCCTATGATTCGCTTAAGTGTTTCTCTTCATTTTGCCACAGGTCAACCTAACCCCAAAATGCCTCTAAACCTGTTTTCCAGAGAGGGGGAACCTTGTGTGGACGTGGGCAAGTCCACACAAAGTCGCTGCTACCTGGTTTATGTGGGCATCTTTTGTTCGGAAGTCCACACAGTGAATGTAATGCTTGTTCACAAGTTCAGCAGTATACATGTAGTGTGCATGCTCAAGGTACAATGTTTGCTGCCACCACAATTTAAAAACACTCCCCATATTGGGGCGCCGATTTCGATATCAAATTCTAAAGGTTGAACTTTCCGACTTCAGTCGTGCAAGACGTAGCTGAAATTATTCCACTTTTTAACCTTTTAAGTAAGATGACCGAAAGTCCTAGAACTGGCCACCAAATGCCACGGATGAAATATTCATAGAATTATGAGCCTTTGAGACAGTTGCTACATACATAATTCACAGCCTTTTCGCGGGGGTTTTACTGGCAGCTGCGTCGCCTCATAATGGATGTTGTAAAAATGTATTCAGTAGCTGTGACATATTGACAAAGGAGGACATATGGCGTGGGGTGGTGATGAAGTCAGAAGATCTGAGAATGCTGAGAGTAGCACCTGAAGCTTTCTTGCAAGGTGAAAGAACTTCGGGATGCAGTTGTGAGATGTGTGGTGGTACTTTTCAGCAACACCCCGTGACAAATACCGTTGAGATTATGGCATGATTCGACTTCACAACTTCAATATCAAGTAGACACTTCTCGTGGCACGGTCAGATTAATTTTCACTTGATACTTCAACCGTGCTTATGGTATAATGTTTTAAAAATAAGGAGTAACAAATTTGTTTGGATTTCTACCTATAAAGGTGTTGCGCTTCATCAATGTATTTTGCATTGCCCGTGCTGGTGTTTAAATTAATTAAGTCTGTCTCCAGCCAATGTGGCTTATCGATGTGGCGTTTCGCTCAGGTTTTCTTGATAATGAAGTGACTGAGAATATTTCTATTCTCGCAGATGAGATGCCGGTCCAAGGCAGGTTACTCGCCAATGGTATTGCCGGCATCCATTTATACTCCTGGGTTAAGAGAGGCAAGTTGGGTAAAAGTGGCTTGCCAAAGGACACAACAAATAGCCAGCGGCAGGATTTGAACCACTGACCCTCTGATTAGTAAAGTCACATCTCCTTACCGTTAGGCAACCCTCCTTAAAATTAAGTATAGGAACAAGTACACATTTCGTTCGGTTTTCGGTTTGCTTTAAATATAGGCCAACTTAAAAACCATGCCCGCCACCCCTGCATGCATTTGGCATTGAAGGCGCAGGTGTTAAGATGAATAAAACAGCCTGGCATGTTTTAGTTACCCAGACATAAGAGACAACGCCATCATTCTAGTGGACGGGGGTCTCTCGCTTAAGACAATTATTGGTTTGGCTGGGGGAAGCTGGATTCACCTGTGGAGGGCTTGTCCGGCGGAGAGTTCCGGTTTGGCCGGACAGTGCAGCTTTGGACCGGATATTGCCGGTTCGGACCAGACAATGTCAGTTTGGACAGAATAGGGCAAGTTTATCATGGAGAATTCTTACTTGCTTAGAGAGTGTTTGGCTAAGGTAGTGCCGGTTTGGTATGGATATTAATAATAAAAAAAAAACTTAATCACTCAAAAAGATGCCCCAAAATTGTCAACCCTTTTCGGATAAAAAACTGCTCCGTGTAATACAAGTTACTTGCCTCACGACTCTGTCTTAATTTTGTCTCTGGACTTTCATTTTCATTACTTGTTTTCGCTTCACCAACTGCATTGAGCTTTTCCCCTTAGGTTCACAAGAGACATCAACTGAAACACTCTCTCCTCAAAATGCTGGCCCACTGTCAGGCAATAAACAGGCAGGACCCGCCACCTCATACTCCGTGTTTGTTCCCGCTCAACACCGGAGCCAAAATGTCCGCCAGAGGTTCGCTGTTTGCCAGAGAGATCCAGTTGCCATTTAAGAACAACATCGGAGATCCTCACAAAAAGCGGCCTGACATCTGACAAAAATCCCCCCAAAGAGTCAAGGGGCCAACATTTTAATTTGCTAAATTGGAAAAGAGCGCCGTTCCAATCCCAACGCACACAAAACACACGCTAGTGGAGGCGCACTGTACTGATGAGACGCAGGCCGCACTGGGAGTAGGGATGGATTTGCACCGTGTTTGTACAAAAATCAAGACGGGGGAAACGAAGCGATCGACGGTATTAAAGTGACAGTGCCGCAGGCTTAATTGTCAAAGAGTTCGTACATGGGGAGTCATCTTCGTGCGTAGTATCAAGATAAATGTGTCCTTAAAGATGTATTGTGTAAAAGCACAGTAGTTTCTTTTCCTTTACCCATTAAATTAACGCGGTATTATTTCCAACTGTAAAAATATATTTTTTATATTGAATATTAAAAAAGGAAATCATTAATTACCATATAGCTTTACAGTTATTACAAGCGTTAAGCCATTAATTATGGCATTAATAATGGTTTAATGAACATCGCGCTCTCTTTAAAAAAAAATCATTACAAAACAGCGAATGGAGGCCCTCAATCTCAATGTCCATTTGAAATGTGTCTATTTTAAGACCTACCCATAACCAAACTATATATAACGTATTTAGAAAATAATATCTGATGATGATACTGCATGTAAATTTGCTCTTGTTGTGCATAACTCCGTCGGAGACAAGAAACACAATGCCAAGACTTTATTAGATAATAGCCGTAGGTATTCAATCGACCCAAATCTTAATGTAGCGTGCATAGAGACGAGCAATCGAACGAAGTCACATGAGTATGGTCATCCGCACATAACGCGTTGTTTATTGCGGTGGCTGCTGTGCATTCTGTTGCGTTGGAAAGGTAACACTCCGTGCGTAACTCCGATTCGTGCACGCGAACCCCTTGCCACACCCAGTGCATCATTGGGTTTAATTTCTGAGATGCAGTTCATTAAGGCTCGTTTATCATCAAAAGTGCATTGCTAAGATGACTTTTGTGAGGTCGTGCATGAAATATCGGGCAGTCGACTACTTCTGCTATTAATTATAAATCCACGACCGTCGCCAGACCAATTTGTAAGGGAAGTATGTGTGACCACGATCATAAATCACGCAAAAAGAATATTTTTATGGAATGTACCGACCATCATAGATTAAACAAACGGGAGTGGTAATGCAACACAAGGGGACGCTATAAAGGGTGGAAAGAACTGGACACAATCTGACACTAGGCGGCGCTGTTCACAATTGACGTTTTTGTCGACACACGATTTACCGACAAGAACCTTGATTTTGCCAACCGAAATGACAAATGAGAGTAAGTGAAACCCCTCCACACAAACGATGCTCTTTCAATCGATATCCTCCTTGTTTTAATAATAATTTTGTCAGATGCCTAATTAAATACACTAAATACTTTAACACCTGGTTTTTTTTACTTTCAGCAAGCGTTAACGGCTTCCTTTAAAAAAAAATACCATGCATAATTACGACATATAAGCCATTTCAGTCTGCCGGTTCCCCGAAGCAAGACAATGTCAAAGTTATTGCCGACTTTCTGAATACAAGTTCCAAACCACGCACATCTTAATATTTTATTTTAAAAAAAAGCCTCATTGCGTGCGGGCATAATTCTCAACACCGGATGGCCATTAAAAGCTTATCACTCTCGAGAAATATCGGCAAAGTGCGGCCTGCGAAATTTAAGCCGCAGCGAGTTTTGATACAACTGTCATTAGGGGAAATAACCAAATGAAGTTCCCGTCGGTGCTGAACGAGGGAGCAACGCGCTGGTGTTTTCTATAGCCGGGGGCTTGTTTGTCCAAAGCTACCCTCACTAATCGGACCAAACTACAATAATGTAAATATCGAGGATATTACTATGCCTAACTACAGTACCGTACCTGCAAAATCAATACATAGGCTATGCTTTACAGCAATTGGACCAAATGATAAGAATCCTGTTTTTTTTACCCCGTCTAGAACCCTTCGGCAAAGGAAGAGCTCAGGTGACCCAATTGTAAACATTAACAAGCAAGTCGTCTACAACGTATGCAGCATAATCTGGTATTCTACATTCCCGCCTAATTTAGCGGTCACTCACTCTTGCGTAAATTATGAGGTCGCGGTTACGGTATTACAACCTGATCGATTACAACAGCCCGCGGTCAGAAGGCAGCCTGTGGAATGGATCCAGCATGAGGG